CTTGCACTCATAATTAGCAGAAGGAAGATGTTATTCTTGTTAAGACTGCCACAAACAGGTAACTGTGCAGAAAAGCAATAGAATGTAAGTTGCTAAAGAAGGTGCTGCTGACCAACTGTCATGTAATAAGTTTGTGGGGTGTTTTGGTTGGTTGGTTGTTTTTTTTATTTAGACAAACTCATCTGAGATGGAGCATAAAACCTTCAGGCAGCTCCTCAGGAGCCGTGTGTTTATTTATGTTGCCTGGATGTAGTTTTAGCAGTCTTTGTTGTTTTTTTTTTTTCTGTCTTTATTCTTACTTGATTTTTCTCCTTTCCTTTTTGTGACTTCTTCCTGTAATACAAGTGTGAATGATACGGAATAACTTTGGCCATCTGTTCTAAGGAATCATAGAACCACAGAATGGTTTGGATTGGAATGCACCTTAAAGATCACCTAGTTCCAACCCCCTGCCATGGGAGGGACACTTCCCACCAGACCAAGTTGCCGAAAAGCCTCATCTAGCCTGGCCATAGGCACTGCCAGGAATGGAGCATCCACAGCTTCTCTGGGATGTTCCTGTGCCTCACCACCCTTTGAGTGAGGAATTTCTTCCTAGTAACTAATCTAAATCTACCCTGCTTTAGTTTAAATCCATTACCCCCTGTCCTATCTCCACACTTCCTGACAAAGAGTCCCTCCCCAGCTTTCCTGTAGGTCCCCTTTAGGTACTGGAAGGCCACTGTAACGTCTTCCCAGAGCCTTCTCTTCTCCAGGCTGAACCACCCTAACCCCAACAGCTTGACTCCATAGGAGAGGTGCTCCAGCCCTCTGGTCGTCCCCATGGCATTCCTCTGGACTCATTTGAATATGTCCATGCTCTTGTGCTGGGTGCCCCAGGTGGTGTCTCACAAGAGCAGAGTAGAGGGGGAGAATCACCTCCCTCGACCTGCTGGCCATGCTTCTTTAGATGCAGCCCAGCACACAGTTGGTTTTCTCAGCTGCAAGAACACACTGCTGGCTCATACTGAGTTCTTCATCAACCAACACTTCCAAGTTCTTCTCCTGAAGGTTGTTCTCAATACATTCTCTGCTCAGCCTGTACATGTATTTGTGCTTGGAATGCTGAGGAATCCACAAGCTGACTGTTCAAACATTGCTGATGCAGATGATATCTTGTAAGCAGAAGTTCATGAAGAAGTAGAAGAAAGTGTTTTCAGAAATGGGTAGGAGATAGATGAGTGCAGGACAAACGAGGTGCGAGCTGGTGATTGATATGCACAACATGCCAAGCAAGCCTGTATTTTTAAGCTACAAAATTCTAATGCCCTGTGGTTTCTTTCCTCTTTTGTTGCTTGGGAGACTCTGTTTCCACTGATGTGGCAGACATAGAGAAGAATAATGAAAAAAGTGCTTGAGCTGTTCATAAAATAAACTATACTGCAATAAAATTCTCAGTCACTGTTACTAAACAAGAAGTTTGATTGTAATTAGATCTTTTGTCTTGTGGAATTCAGAAGAAACATATGCTTTCAACTTGTGTCAGTTGAAAATGTACATGAAACATAAATTATATGTTCACCCCCTCTACAGTCATGTAAGAGAATAGCATAGAGGGACAACCCCAACTCAGGAGGAGTTTGTAGAGGTTTAATCCACTCTATGTCTGGGGAGGTAGGTTATAGTTCTTAAGCTCTGCTACACTCTGGTATTGTCCTTATGTCATCAGGAAACCCCCCATGACATTGGTATAATTTTATTAGTGGTGGACAAGCTTAATTTAGTTACAGTTCTAGAAACTCGCCTTCACCAGCACAAAATAACGTCTCTTCTGATTCTCTGTCTATGATTTTTATAATTTTCTTTTTATTAAGTTGTAACTATATCTCCTTGTCAAGATGTGGGAAATGGCTCGAATTTGGTTCAAAGTAAAATGAAACCAATCGGTTTGGGATTTTCTTTGAGGGAGAGAGGAAAGGAGTTTTGTTTTGTGAATCTCACATACTTCATCTTACTTTCAAGCCACATAACTTTTGTTTGGATTTTTTTTTCTTTTCCTTTTCTGTTTTAGACTGCATATGTCTTTGGAATATTAATTGTCTTGTAATACTGTTTGTCTCTGTGCTTCATATTTTAAAGAAAATCCCTGTTTGCCACCGCAACCTGTAGAATATGTAGATGATCTTAGGCTGGAAAATCAAAACTTAAAAATGGAAAAAGAAGGGAAAACAATTTATCTGGCTGGTGCTACACTGAATGTGGTTTGTCGTCCTGGATATAAGTTAGATGGACCATCAAAGATAACTTGTTCTATGGGAAACTGGACTTCAGCTCCTACATGCTCTGGTAATGTTAAACAAGACTTTTCCTGAGGTGTACTTAGCAATGAATCTGAACATTTTTAAACTGGAGTTTGAAATGTAGCAACAGACAGTAATTCCATATTTTGCTATAGAATGTTATTTTTCCTCATGAATGTCTTCAAAGCAATCCTGGTGGGGGGCAAGGCTGATACAGTTGAACACAGTTTATTTTTTTATATATTCCTGTGGTATATTTGCAATCTATGTTCAGAGTCAGTCTCTGCCAGATGAGTCATGGGCATATCCTTACCATCCAAGGATCTGTTCTCTACAGAGTCCACTAGTGAGTAGAAATTGCTTTGGTACTTCAATGATAGACATCACTTCTGTATAGGAAAGGACAGAAGCCTTTACCAAAGTTTTCTGGCAGGGCTAGAAACATAATCTAAATGTTTGCATTGCCTGAAGTTCATGTCTATTTAGACTACTAACATTTAAGTTTCTGAATGCTACCTTTTATATAAAATCCACAGGCAGTGATTGACTATGCTGATGCTATAAAAGGCATCTTTGGTAGGAATAATACAGTCATTCTACGTGTATCACATTACCAAAAGTTTCAAGTTTGCATATCTTTTCAGAAAGACCATGTGGAAGTATTCCAGCAGTGGCCAATGCTGCTTTTGAAGGCAGGAGCAAGGAGAAGTATGAGCCTGGTGAAACAATTCGCTACCAGTGTCATGAAGGATTTCAGGTCACTGGTCTCCCTGAAATTTTTTGCAGAAGGGGAACTTGGTCAACACCACCAATCTGTGAAGGTATAGGTTGTACTTCTAAGTAATCTATGATCCTTCTTAGTCTTCCAGGAAGAGTAGTTAATGTAATGCCAACCGATATGTGCAACTGAGTCAGACCAGTAGAGCTGATCATTGAGTTGCTTTTAATAGATTGCTCCAACACCTGTTTTTCTGGTCCCTGAGAAGCACCAAGCAGGACTGATCAGCAAAGAAATCTTTTCCCCTTCTGGACTGAAGCCAGTAGCCACAGCTATACTCACTGCTTAGATTAGCAGTCAGAGGATTATGGAGGAAAGGGTGCTGGCTGCAAAGAGTGACATAGCTGGTAGCCTTACATATCTCACTTTCTTATCATTAGAATTTTCACTCTCTTAAAGTTACCTTCGAATAGTAAATAACCCACTTTGTTCTCCAGTGCTTTGGCACACAATTCTGGATGGCATCAGTATGCACATTCAGCTGGTCTCTGCAGCTCCTTTCCTCTTCTTAAGTCACTTTAGGCAAATATATATATATATATAAATAATAATTGCCTGGTGAAGCATTGCAGAATGAAACCCATAGTATCTTCCTTTCCTATTTGTAGAAAATGACCTACCATATGCAAACCATCTGTCTTCATCAGGAATAATGGTGCTTCTGAATACATTATTCTGTGATAGCCATATTCATGTCCTATGATTCTCAAACGCACCTCTCTTTTCAGATGTTAGCTGTGGACCCCCACCTGAAATTCTCAATGCTCATATTACCAGCACTCAGCAGCAGAGGTATCTGCCTGGTGCCAAAGTGCATTATGAATGTGAAAGTAATTCACAAATTATGGGTGTAAATTATGTCACTTGTTCAGATGGACACTGGACAAAAGTGCCAAGTTGCAGAGGTAGGAATTTGTGCCTTCATTATGGCTGTTCGCTTCGTGGGGACTGTTTGGATTACCTTAATACTAGAAAGACATTACCTTTTTTAGTTTTGTTTTCTTTGGGTAATGCAGCTTTGTACCTACTACTGCTTTCTTGCACAGAACTTTAATTTAGCTTAATACTTCTAGAAATACTATGGGTATATTCATCAAGAGCAAAAATATCTTGAAGAAAAAAGGCCTAGAGTATGCTGACTTGCTATTCTTCTCTGAGATACAAGTAATTTCCAGACTACACCATTTTACTGACCTTCACTAGAAAGATGTGTAAGGGCTCCTCTGTTGTGTTCAGCGCTGTCAGAGAGTATCGGAATGGCAGAAGCAGTAGTGGAGAGAAACAGGAGCTCTTCTCTGAGGCTCCACTATGACAGAGATCCCAGCAGAGCCTCAGGAACTAAAACATGCAGATCGGCTGGGTTCTGCAATGGCAAGAAGGTTCCTCTGAAGAGGAGCTGTGCCGTCTTCCTAGTCCCTGCTCAAATCTGTGGCTGGGGGCTGAACAAGTGCAACGTGGCAGTCATACACCTCCATGGAGTCAACTTTACTTACCTGACCCATGAGTAGTACAGGCTGATAATGTCTTCCAGAGCTCTGCAGTTCAGCAGAGAGCCAGCTTGGCTGCTACATCTGTGATTCTGAGAAGTGCTCAGGTTCTCAGCAGAGGGCCATGGCCTTGCAAGGAGGCTTTTTCTGGCATGTGGTGTAGCTACAGAAATGTTGGCTTTTTCTAGAAGCTCTCACTGTCGCTGTCATCTCCTGAGAATCTGGAAGGTGTTCTGCTGCCATTGTCATGTTAATTTACATTCCTGGAGCTCACAGTGCCATAGAAAGCCAAGGAAAAAGGGGAGGGGGAGGGGGAAATCAAGTCATGTTGGTAAGGCAATATTGTCTCTGGTGCTTAAGAACATCATCTGGGGAGTAACAAGATGATTCTCTTAACTTGTTTGTGTAAGAACATGTGAGGGAATACAAATCAAGTGCCGAAATGTCTCTTTTCAGATGTGACGTGTGAACCTCCTCCAGAAATTGCTGGTGGAAAAGTTCAAGGTGTTAAAAAGCCAAGGTATTTGCCTGGGGAGACAGCTCACTATCAGTGCTGGCAAGGTTTTCAGATGACGGGGGCTTCCACAGTAACATGCCAGAATGGGACCTGGACAGAGCAGCCCCAGTGCAAAGGTGAGTTCTCTCTCTCTCTCTCTCCATGCAGTAGACTGTCAGTGAAGACTGCCCTCAAGCTAGCTCAGTGGCATTTAGGTCTCCAAATTTCAGTCTCAGGACTGTGAGCAAGTGTAACAATATCTGTCAGACTCAGGAAAGAGAGATTTTCCGTGGTATCTCTCCATTTGTGGTGGCAGGATGTGTTTAATGGAAGTCTACCAGATGGCTTCACTCAAGGGTTGCCACATCTGGAAAAGCACCCTGAGGCTGAGAGCAACTGCTGGCCAGCTCTGATTTTGAGACAGCAACCTTTCAGTTCTGCAAATCTACTTTCTGAGAATGCCTAATGTGAGGAGAGTGAGAAATTGTGCTGTCTGTGCTGGAGAACAGAGCTCACAGTTCTCCTGCTCACTGACATCCAGGAAATTCAAGTGGAGCATTGCCTTTGTGAATGCCGTGTAATTGAGTCTACTGTTAAATTACCTGTGGGCCGTAGCTGATGGGTGAGCTAACAGCTGGTACCATGTTGGTGCCCAGCATTTCATGAACACATTGAATAATCTCATTTACACATTGAATAATCTCATTTGATTAATGAGGCATGTGCTAGGTTTCAGCACATGAACAAATGCAGCATTTGGTGTCAAAGTGACAGTTTTCTCTCTGCTTTCCTCCAAGTCTCTCGAAGTGCTGCCTACATGGTCTTCTGAAGAATTTGTGGCTAGTCCTCTCTTGCAACTAAACTTCAGTGGTTTTCTTTCTAATCTTCTTTCAGGGAAGGGTAGAAAATGTGTTCCACCTCCAGATATTGAAAATGGAGACATCCTTTCCTTCCCATTACCAGAATATGACCAGGGTCAGATTGTGAAATACAAATGTGCAAGTTTCTACATCCTGAAAGGACCTGAGCAAATCACCTGCATTGATGGGCAGTGGACAAATCCCCCAGTTTGCTTGGGTAGGTGGAAGCTGGTGCTGCGTGGCCCAGAGCTGTGTGAGCTGCTCGTTGACTTTTTCTCAGGCCCTGCAGGCCCTGCACTTGTGAAGCAGCGCTTGTGTTGGGGCTGCGATGCTGACAGGGCAGAAGAGCAGCTGGTGCTTCTCCTGTGCAGAAGGAATTTCCTCTGGAGGTCAGCTCGTGTAGCCGCCTCTGCTGCCTGCTGTCCCTCCCTGCCCCCAGTCACCAGCAGATCCAGGAGGGTGGTTTGGTCTGAGTGCAAGGAAATCCAGGGCCATGGGGGAATGAATTTGAGAAGTGCTGGGACGAGGGCAAGGAGAGAACCCAAAAAGACACAGGGGAGGTCATTGCTGCCTTCTGGGTGCCCCTGCCCCAGGCTGTGCTTTCCCCTTGCCCTGTGAGACTGTCAGAGGGCAAAGGCCTCTGCACAGCGGTGTGTGGCGACTCAGCCATCATTGTTTTTCCCCTTTGCATTCTTAAGAATGTCTTTCCTGTTGGAAAACTCAGAGGGTGAGAGCTCATTGCTGGAAGAGTTTTGTGATGTAAAGTACACCTGTAGGCTCGGAGGGGGGAAGAAATTGTATGTTGTATGAACTTATCACATCCTTCTCTTGCCTCTTCCAAGCGGCTTGTATGGCCTCTGAAGAAGATATGGACAGAAACAATATTGAGCTGAGATGGAGAGGAGAAAGAAAGCTGTACTCGACATCAGGCGATTTTGTTGAATTTGATTGTAAAATAGGATACGTGCAGGACCCAGCATCTTCCCCCTTCAGAGTGCAGTGCATGGATGGGACATTGGAATACCCACGGTGCAAGCCAGGAAGTAAGTCACCTCCACTCTGTCACTGCTTGGCCGCTGCCTTGGTGCATTTTTATTGCAGAAGCTGAGAGGAAAGCCCATAGCAAGTGTGCCTGGGGAAGAAATAATGGGGCTCCAAGGTGGCAGAGCACGCTGCAAAGCGGCAGGCCATGAGGGCCTGCAGGCCTGCATGCCATGTGCCCCCAAGAAGCTGCCGACTGGCGTACCTGAGCTGGAAAGGCTCCTGGGGGAATGTTCTCGCTGGGGCTCATCAGGGTTACTGGTGCTGGGCCTGCCTGGCAGGTTCCAGGCAGGACAGAAGGGCTGGTAAGTTCCCTGCAAGTGGCTTCTCTGAAGTCAGAAGGTGCCATTTCCCTGACTGTGGCAGGGCTGAAGGGAGGGAGACCATTTCCTTGCAGGCTCTCCCAGGCCTGCCTGTTCAGGCAGGGCTTTGTCCCAGCGAGCTACTCTCCTGCTTCTCTCTTGCAGCCACAGCTGTGCCCCCTTTGCACCCATGGCCTTCCCAGCTCCTCTCTGGTGTGCCCTGCTCTGGTGTGTGTGGAGGCAGGGGTCAATGCCCATTGCACGCCTTCACAGGCTTCTCCAGCAGGAAACCTGTGCTTGCCTCCTCGTACAATCTCCCCAAGCAGCAATTACTGTGACATTGCTGAAGGGTATGAAATGGGCTTTTGCCTTTCATCATCGGCAATGTGCGTTGATACAGGTGGGGACAGATGCAGCAGGGATGCAGCACAGGAGAATAAGTAGTGTCAGTCACTCAGCTGGTACCGATAGCTTCAGACTGTTGACAAAAAGGGCTATTGAGAAATGATGAAAGTACTTTCTCTTGTGGTGGTGGCTGTTCTTTTCTTTTTCTTGTTTGTCTCTAATTTTTTTTTTCTTTCCAAGGGAACTGTAGTTTGAGTGAGGTGGCTATGAAGAGGAACAATATAAAACTAAGACACTCGACGAGAAGATCTAACATATATCGCTCTAAGGAGACTATTTCATTTACATGCTATTTTGCCCACCGGGAAGTCTCAAACCCAGAGGATTTTGAGGCACAGTGCCAGGGTGGAGTGATTAACTACCCTCGATGTGAATGTAAGTGCTCTGTGTGGAGGGTGCAGTGCTGTGTAGAATTGTGGAGAAGAAGGGAGGGTCAGCTTTAGGGGCCTTCACTTAACCCTCTACCAGTCTGTGTCTGTCGTGGGATTGCTCCTGTTCCAAGGGGCCTGGGGAATCAAACGGAAGCAATGGGAATGCTAGGCAACTTTGCTGTCCACTGCTCTCAAGAAACATGGCTATGTGCCAGCCTTGGTGTTCATTCCTTTTCTACTTCCTCTCTTTACATTGCAGCGTATTTTGGATAAATGGAAAAGGCATGAAGGAACCCAGCTGAAGAAATGAAAGATCCTTTGACCAGCCCAGTGATTTGAGCTCAATTTTTCCTGGAGTTTGCTGTTTCATTGTGCCGTGTTTGCAGCCTAGCCAACGTTCTGTGTTGGAATTTGCCTTTCTTTTTTTTCCCTTTGAATTGTTGGATGATTGTTTTGATATGTTACCATTTTTGTAAAAGTATTTACATTTTATCCATTCAAATGACTGTACATCTTACTTTTGTTCTATATTGATCTCAGTGTTATTTTATTAACATTTGCATCCTGAAGTAGGCTGGCTTTGGTGGCATACTGAGACGTCAATTAAAGTGTGCAGCTAATTTGCTGATCAGCAAGTAGTGTGTGTGTGGTCTTGTGTGCTCTTAGCTTCTTCTCCGTGTAGTTTCCTGGGAGTTTAGCCTGGGGTCATGGCAGAGACGAGTGTCCTCACAGCCTCATCATGATGTGAAGGCGAGTGCTCTCCTTTAAACAACCCAGGGAAGTCTGTGGATCATAGACCCCAATTCTTAGGCATGACTTGAGCCTCTGTGATATTTGGAGGGGAGAGTTATCAAGTGTGGACATAGGTGAGGAGTGTAGAGGGATTAGAAATATATAAACTTATATACACTTTTTTTTTTTTTTTGACCAAAGCCTATTGCATATGCTTCATATAGCAGTAGCTGAGTGAATGATCTTTGTCTTCTGTGACTGTAAACTACATTTATAAGTCTGTCCCGTATATGTAAGTTTATTTCATGTGTTAGCGTTTACCTTCAGTCATTTTGTACCTCTTCTGTTGATAATCTCTGAACATGCAGATTCAAGAGTATTTGGATCCTTTGTTTAGTAACTCACTGAGGTGTATTCTGAACTCCATAAGGGTTTAACATTTCAAGCAACAAATAAAAGATAATCTCAGCACAGAAAAGCAACCAATCCGTATTGACTGTAAACCTGCAGGAGTCAAGTGTGGACATAAGTGAGGAGTGTAGAAGGCACAGAAATAGTCTGAACATCAGTAAAATAAATCTAGAGCATCTGAAACTGAAACTTCTAAAAATAAATTCACTTACGTACACATTTTTGGTATGGAAATTTTGGACCAAAGTCAGTTGGTTTTCTGATGCTTTCAATAGTGTTAATATTATTTTAAAGATCTAATTGCATCTCCCCCTTCCTTGTATGAGAAATGCAGCAGAGCTGTACCTCTCCACCGGTGACTAAAAACAGTGTTCTTCTTAGAATATGGTTGCCCGCTTTACCATTTTTTGGATGGACCTAGCACTGTTTATTGCAAAGAAGGAAACTGGACAGAACAACCTACTTGCTTAGGTAAGGTTTGTGAGGGAATAAAAAAAAAAAAAAAGTGACACGTAATGTAGAAAGGAAAATCTGGAAAGGACCTCTACATAATCTTGTAATGACTCCCTCTTCTCTTAGAGCTAACAGATTTCAGAAACACGAGGCTGAACCATTATTGACTATACCTAGCCCACTGCTGCTAAGTGTCTTCTGGCCTGTTCTTAGTTCCTCTGTTTTCCTGAGTGAAGAGTTCTAGAACTCAGCTGGCCTCATTATTTTGGAAGACTTTCTAATTTCTTTATCTTCCACGACCTCCATTAAGTGGATTTCTTCCTGTCTATCGAAAGGTGTTTAGAAGAAATGACTGCAGTCGTTGCCTAAATTGTTTTTTTTGTTGTTGTTGTTGTTTGTTTGCTTGTTTGTTTGTTTTTGGTTAGGGTTAGCAAGTATTGTGACTCGGACTTTCATTTTTAAACTTTCAGCCTTTGTGTTTGTTGTGTCCTTGTATCCACCTCTTAATTCTGGACTTCCTAATTGTTCCATGATGCTCCCATGTATGCTGCTCGAAACACAC